TTCATAGAATTTGTTTGATAGAAATAAACAATAATCGAAAGCACACCTTGATCCATAACAGCAGATCTATATTATGGGTTACCTTGTTGCGGCAATTTGATTCTCACCGTAACAGTAGATCTATGTTTCTTCCTCTGGCCTTTTGTTGATTTTGATTCATCACCGTATACAGTAGATTTCTATGTTTCTTCCTCTGGCCTTTATTGTTCGTAAAAGTTTTCTCTCAATGGGTCAGAGAATAATCAAAGCAGCTACGGGAGTTTCTTTTATGAGCTCTCCTCAAACAAGCTATCACTGTATGTGTTTAGGCAACCGTCACACTCTCTATTTTATTTTCCCTTTTCTGTGTGTTCACCCTAAGCTGTTGATTCTTTACTTTATAAGGTAGAAGAAGGGTTATTAAAACCCTATCTGGCTCTTATCCATTAGCCCAATAACCATGATCTCGGGCCAAAACCCTAACTGGCTCTTATCCATTAAGCCCAATAACCATGATCTCGGGCCACCTTAATTAGAACAGCCCTTTAATCACATGGGCCACATATAGATTATTAAATAATCTAATAGTTCACCCCCCCCCCAAGTTGGTGTTGGATAAACTGACCAACCCCAACTTGGATACTACATCATTAAAACGCGTAATGGGAAGTGATTTTGTGAGTAATTCAGCCAACTGGTTCCGAGATGAGACATGCGAAGTGCTAAGAAACTAAATTAAAGCTCGTTTCGGACCACATGACATTCTATCTCAACGTGTTTGGTTCATTTGTGGAACACCGGATTCGCGACAATATGGAGTGCCAATTGGTTGTCACAAAACAAAGGAATGGGAAGAAGATATGGTAAACCAAGATCTCTTAAAAGATAAGATATCAATTTTAATTTGCATGTTGTATTCGCCTTTGCCCTATATTCTGTTTCTACGGTTGAACAACTAACAACATTTTACTTCTTTGTTTTTTAGGAAGTAAGCGAGTCACCAAGAAATATGCAATACCCAAAAAGAGATCGACGAGTAGTGGTGCATGCGGCCGAATCAGTGTCACAATAAGCACATAACTGAATGGAACTTTGATGAGCAAAGAACAAATCAATAAAAGTTGTACCTTTAAGAAGAAGGTGAATGCAGCATTGAGATGACCAATACGAGGATTTTGCATGTACTAGCTCAACTATTATATGCAGTATGCAGTATCCGGTCTAGTGAGATTCAAGTACAGAAGAGGATCTACTACTCGACGGTATTGTTCTGGATCGAGTAATAAAGTGCCCATTTCAGGTAATAATTTGTTCCCTTATGCCATTGGTGTATGTGTAGCTATAATTGTATCAAGATTTGCATCATGTAGTAAATCAAAAATGAATTTACTTTGAGACAAATACATACCTTGTGTAGATCTTGCAATTTCTAGGCCCAAAAAATACCTTTTTATGACCAAGGTCCTTAATAATGTAGGCTTTGTGTAAAAGTTCTTTCATTGCTAATCAGAAGGTCCAGTAATCAAAACATCATCAACGTAGACAATAAGAATAAGAAAACTGTCACCAAACTCCTTAGTGAATAGGTAATGATCAGTGGAAGATTGAGAAAACCCATAGTTGAGCAAGGTAGCAGTGAATTCTTTGTTCCACTGCCTGAATGCCTTAATATGACACTCTAGTGGAAGCATGTAAATGCCCTCTTAATATGAACACTCTAGTGGTAGCAGTGAATTCTTTGTTCCACTGCCTGAATGCCTTAATATGACACTCTAGTGGAAGCATGTAAATGCCCTCATCAATTTGCCTATGTAAGTAGGCATTATTGATGTCTAGCTGGTGTAAAGGCCGTGATTTTGCTGCTACTAAGGCCAATAGAACCCTAACAATAACCAATTTCGTAATAGGGGAGAAGCTTTCTGTATAGTCTAGACCTAGGAGTTGATTGTACCCCTTAGCCATTAGACGAGCCTTGTATCTATCAACAGTACCATCTATTTTATATTTGATTATGCAAACCTATTTAGATCCTATGGCCTTCTTTCCTTTAGGTAATTCTATAAGAAGACAAGTGCCATTTGCCTTTAGTGCATTTAATTCAACCTAGATTGCCTATAACCACTTCTCATTTTTTTAGCATGATTAAAAGATTTAGGCTCATGGACTTTAGATAGGTTGCTTTGAAATGCTAGATATGCAGCAGAATATGATAAATTGTGGAAAGACAACTAACTTGTTTGATGTGTAGGTGATCTGTCATTACTATTGGAAGAGACAAGAGCTACAAAATTAGCAAGCCAAGCAAGTTTACTTTTGGTTCTAACGCTTCTCCTTAATTCTAGTTGTGGGTCAGTCAATGCAGGTATGGTACTGGTATGATCTGTTGTATGAGAAATGGTATTTTGTGGTGGAATTGAGGTTGTGTTTTGGTTTTTTGTGGTATCTTGGTTTGTTGTAATATTTTGGGATTGGTGATTTGTGATAGGAGATGGAAATTGAGTCTGTATCTTTGGTTGTGGTTGCATGTTTGATTGTGTGGTGGATTATGATTATGAATGATTGGTGGTGGTGAATGGGGGTGTGTGTGGTATGTTGGATATTGTCATCCATGCATGTTGGAAAGGAGAATTGGAAGCTATAAGTGGGTATTTGGTTGTGATTATATTCTCTTTGAAACTGACATCACTAGAATAAAATATTTTTTTTGGTGTTCAAATCATAAAGTCTATATCCTTTCTATTATGGTGCGCAGCCAAATAAAACAGTAGGAATTACTCTTGCATCAAATTTGTTGTTTGGTGTGACTTGATTGCAAAGCATAAGCATCCTATGATTTTGAAATATGTGATATTTGGGGGTTTGGTATGTAAAACCTCAAAAGAGGATTTCCATTCAATATTTCTATGGTTACTCTATTTATTATGTGAGTGGCTCCCAATAAAATTTCTGACCAAAAATTCTTAGGGATTACTCTATGTTATTATGTTGAGTCGGCTCCCCAATAAAATTTCTGACCAAAAAATTCTTAGGGAGTCCTAGATTGAAGTTATAAGAGCCTACTATTTGCATTAGGAAACTTATGGTTTTCCTCTTTGCCCTTCCATTTTGTTTTAAGGGGAACAGGGATATAGGTGAGATGGTGTATGATACCTTCTCCATTTTGTTAAGGGGAACAGGGATAAGTGAGATGGTGTATGATACCTTTTTGAGAAAATAGCTCTTTTAATGAACTTGTCCCATTATCTGTCCTTGTTTTCTTAATTTTTGTCTGAAATTGTGTGCTAATCATGCTTAGGTAGTGCCAAAAACCTCAATCACTTGAATTTTGTCCCCTATCATATAGACCCATGTATACCTGCTGTAATCATCTAATAATGTGACCATATATCTTGTATCTGTCATTGATCTAAATGAATAAGGACCCCACAAATCAGCATGTACTAAAGCAAATTTAGCTTATGCATGGCTAGTACTAAGAGGAAAAGGCAATCTTTGTTGTTTTGACTAGGGACAAATGAAACAATCCTCAAATTCAATGTTCGCATTTAACAATTTAGATTTGTGTTTCAATCTAACATTTGATATATGGCCTAGTCTAGCATGCATGCCAAAAGCACTCCTATGCGGCTTGTTATTTGATTATCACAAGAGTGGTAGTAGCATTAACAAGTTAATATTTGGAAATGAAAAGAATGTGTTATTTCAGTAAGTATAGACCTTTCTTGTAATAAAATATTAAGGAGCGATAAGGTAGATTATTCTAGAAAAATATTAAGGAGCGATAAGGTAGATTATTCTAGAAATCCCCAAGGCAGCCGATTTGAGTAAATAATGGAGGGATAAGGCTGATTTATAGGAGTGATAAGGTTTAATAATTAAAGAATATATGTTGTAATAGGAGTCCTAGAATAGCTTAATTCCTAGTAGAATATTAGTTTAAATAGACAATTGCTTCTGTATTATGTTTAGAAATATGCAGAACATTCAATAATAATTATAACGTTTTTCGTTCATTTTTTTCTCTCCAAATTCTGTTTTTCATCGTGGTATCAGAGCCTTTGTGCTTCTGTTTTCGCACTCTCATCATGGCTACCTCTTCCCTAAACGTAAACGTAAGCAACTTTGTTACCTTGAAGCTTTCGCAAACTAATTACCTGTTATGGAGGGAGCAGGTCATTGGTTTAGCTGAAAGCCAAGAACTTTATGATCATTTAACCACCAAACCCCCAACTGCTGTCGTTGGAACAACCAATTCTGAGGAAAACAAACAAACCAAGCTTGGCAAAAATCTGACAGGCTACTTCGAGGGTGGATTGTTGGAACGCTCTCTGAAGAGTCCTTGGGGTTAGTCATAGGTCTCGATACTGCTTATGCAGTTTGGGAGGCACTCAAGGAAGCCTATGCCAAAGATTCACAAGAACGTGAATTTACTTTGAGGCAGCAACTTACGTATCTACGTAAGGATGACAATGTCTCAATTGGCGATCATATTCGGAAATTCAAGTCATTATGTGATAATTTGGCTGCAATCGGTAAGCCAATGGCTGATCAGGAGAAGGTCTTCGGTAAGCCAATGGCTGATCAGGAGAAGGCCTACTGTCTTCTAACTAGTCTTGGGCCAGATTATGAAACTTTCACCACAACTATGTTGAAGCCGCCTAGACCATCGTATACGGAGATGATCTCGCAACTCCAGAATCTTGATCAACGGCGAACGTGGTTCAGTTCTTCCCAGCCGATGCACCTGGCATTTTACAGCACTTCTTCTCGCAACAATAATCAAGGGCGCAGTCGAAACAACGTGAATTTCTCTTCAGCCGGTAGAGGTTTTCAGGCACAGCAACGTGGGAGCAAGGCTGATGGAGGCGCGCCTGAGTCGCAGCAAACACAGCGGAGGACGTTACCACCTGGTCTTCGTCGTATGACACCCGAAGAAAGGGAACTGTACTGCAATGAAATCTGTCAGGTATGTAATAAACAGGGACACATGCAATGAAATCTGTCAGGTATGTAATAAACAGGGACACATTGCGAAGATCTGTTGGTGGGTGATTAGTGCTGCTAATCAGTCGGCAAAGCTTCCACATGCCTTGGCAGCCCTGACCTTGGATAACACAATTACGAACACCGATTGGACTGCTGACTCAGCAGCTACTGACCATATGGCTGCAAATCAAGGTATGTTCTCTACCTTAAATCAATATAATGATTTAGTAATAATTGGTAATGGTACCATGATTCCTATCACTGGAATCGGTGATTCATGTGTGGAAAACAATAGAAATAATATAAAGTTAAATAATGTTTTGTTTGTTCCACGAATGAAGAAGAATTTGTAATCTGTGGGAAAATTGACAAGTGATTATCCTATAAACTGAGTTTACTAATAGTAATGTTTTCTTAAAGGATCGAAAGACAGGGAAGGTAATTTTGGAGGGCCCAAAGAAGGATGATCTATATATACTTCCTAATCGGCGTGCAACGACAAATTTCTCTCAACGATTTCGATCGTGCAGTGCTGATATATGGCATCAAAGGCTTGGACACTCTCAAGCTTCATCTATTGTTAAGTTATCAAATAAGGGCCTTATTAGTGTTGATGGTCCACTTAAAATTAATAAGATTTGTGATAGTTGCCAATTAGGCAAATTTAGCAAGTTTCCTTTTACTACAAGTACAATTTCTACTACTTCTATGTTTGAACGGGTTCATTGTGATTTATGGGGTCCTGCACCACTTTTGTCTATTGCTCGATATCAGTATTATGCTTGTCTTGTGGATGATTATACGAGATTCATGTGGTTGTTACCTTTACGCGCAAAATCTGATTTTTTTACTGTTTTTGTTGCATTTGAGAATTATATTAAGCGTCAATTTGGCGCTGAAATAAAAATTCTCCAAACCGATGGTGGAGGTGAATTTGTTAATAAACAAATGGCTGAACATTGTTTAAAAACAGGTCTTGTTCATCGACTTTCTTGTCCACATACACCCGAACAATCAGGAGTTGTGGAAAGACGACATCGCATGATTCCCGAACATCAGGAGGTTGTGGAAAGACGACATCGCATGATTCCGGGAACTTGGAATGTCCAATGATCGTTTGAACTTGGAATGTCAATGATGTTTCAAAGCCGAGTACCCTTATTTCTTTGGGTTGAGGCTTTCACATCCGCTGTTTATTTGATTAATCGCTTACCATCATCTGCTTTAAATTTTGAATCTCCATTTTTCCGATTATTCAAAAAATATCCTGACTATTCAATGTTGCGGGTGTTTGGTTGCAAATGCTTTCCATACACCTCGGACAACAAAACAACCAAATTTGATTCTAAATCTTCTCTTTGTGTGTTTACAGGATATACAGAGCAGTACAAGGGTTATAAATGCTATGACCCAAAACAGTGGAAGTTCATAATTTCTCGACATGTCACATTTGATGAAACTGACTTTCCGTATAAATCAAAAGAAACTCCAGATTCTCAGCTTATTCTTAATCTAATTGATTCATGGATTATGCCGTCGAAAATTGTCACTAATTCTGCGTGCAATTTTATTCCAACGATTTCAGGAGGGACTGCTCAAAATTCTCAAGTCGCAGCTGATTTAATTGTCATGCGAACTCACTCAGTTGATGCGTCTGGCGGAACGAAGGCTTTACAAAATAATGAAGAAACTCGAGTTGACCAGGAGCAGCAAGCCTCTTCCGACGAATATACTGCACAACCACCGACGGAAAATCAGTCCGATGGGAACAATACAAACATCGAAGCTAATTCGAATACTGAGGAGAACTATAAGGAGATTGCACAATCTCAACCTCAGCAATCTTCAGAAAATAACATAGTCTCTGTTTCAACTGAAGGGAGTTGTGCGAGTACTGAAATTTCAGCAGCTGCTACAGATATTGGTGTAACAGAATCGGATGCATCAGCTCAACAGGCACCTCGACAGCATACTATGGTAACTCAATCTCAGCGTGGAATAGTGAAACCCAATCCGAAGTATGCCTTGCTTGTTACAACGATAGATTCAATCCAAATCCGAAGTATGCCTTGTTGTTACAACGATAGATTCAATTCCAGCAAGAACCCAGAATAAATAAAAGAAGAATAAAAGAAGCAATTGCACATCCAGGATGGAAGAAGGCAATGGAGGAAGAGATTTCAGCCTTGAAAAAAAATTGTAAATGGGATCTTGTGCCAAGAACAAAAGATATGAACGTTATAGGAGCGAAATGGGTTTTTAAAGCAAAGCTTATGCCTGATGGTACTTTGGAACGCTTGAAAGCTCGCCTGGTAGCCAAAGGATACAATCAAGTAGATGGAATTGATTTTCTTGAAACTTTTTCTCCTATTGTGCGACCAGGTACAATTCGCCTTGTACTTTCTATTGCTGTTGTTAAAAATTGGCAGGTACGACGGTTGGATGTCAAGAACGCATTTCTTCATGGCTATGTGAACGAAGATCTTTACCCTGGATTTGTTGATTCATCAAAGGCGTCATATGTCTGCAAACTAAAAAAGGCGTTGTACGGATTGAAGCAAGCGCCACGGGCCTGGTTTGATCGCTTGAGTAAATTTTTAATTTCTCATGGTTTTATTTGTAGTTTAGCTGATCCATCACTTTTCATTTGCCATTATGGTTCAGAAACGTTAGCTTTATTGGTTTATGTGGATGACATGTTATTAACTGGGTCTAGTGATAAATTAATCAAATCTTTTCTGGAGTTTTTATGCAGTGAATTTAACATGAAAGATCTTGGTCCTATTCATCACTTTTTGGGAATGGAAGTCATAACAACGGCAGATGGGTTACATCTTTCACAAACTAACTTTGCTCTTTCTATTTTAAAGAAGTTTCAAATGCAGGATTGTAAGCCAATGCCAAGCCCACAATACACGAAGCATGATTTCAAAGAAGCCAAATCACTTCAAAGAAGCCAAATCACTGGCCGATCCTTTTGTCTACAGAAGTGCCATTGGAGCACTGCAGTATCTCACTCTAACGCGGCCGGATATTGCCTTCAGTGTCAACTATGCGTCACAATTTATGCAAGCTCCTACAACCTCACACATGAAACTCATTCATAGAATACTACGCTACATCAAAGGATCGCTCGAGCTTGGAATCAAAATAACAAAGGATTCGACGCTTGAGCTTAAGGCTTATTCCGATGTTGATTGGGCAGGTTGTCCTGCAACACGCCGTTCAACAACTGGGTATTGTACCTTCCTCGGCAAGAATATCATTTCCTGGTGTGCCAAAAAACAAAGTACCGTATCTTGTTCAAGTACGGAAGCCGAGTATAGAGCTATGGCACATACAGCAGCTGAACTCACATGGCTCACGTTTTTACTTCAAGAACTTCGGGTTCCTAGTTCAATTCCAGTTTTATATTGTGATAATTTGAGTTCATTGTATCTTTCTGTAAATCCCTCTATGCTCGAAACAAAGCACATCGAGTTTATAGGACTAATCATTTTGTTTAGGAGAAAGAGTTGCTCAAAGGATCCTCCATTACCAAATATGTTCCATCCGCACCAACCAACTCGCGGACATATTTACCAAATCTGTCTCCAAGTCTTGCCATTCGATCTGTCATCGGCCAAACTATGTCTCAGGCCCTCGCCATAGTTTGGAGGGGGGATAATTAGAATATAAAGGAGCGATAAGGTAGATTATTTCTTAGAAATCCCCAAGAATATTAAGGAGCGATAAGGTAGATTATTCTAGAAATCCCCAAGGCCGCCGATTTGAGTAAATAATGGAGGGATAAGGCTGATTTATAGGAGTGATAAGGTTTAATAATTAAAGAATATGTGTTGTAATAGGAGTCCTAGAATAGCTTAATTCCTAGCAGAATATTAGTTTAAATAGACAATTGCTTCTGTATTATGTTTAGAAATATAACGTTTTTCGTTCATTTTTTTCTCTCCAAATTCTGTTTTTCATCTTCTTGAACCCTTTTAATAGCATGAGTGCATCAGTCTGGATATCTTGTAATAGACAACGGTTAGTTTTGGTTTTGACAGAAACATTGCATTTTTTGGCAAGGGTATGAACTGAAATCAGGTTGCTTTTAAAACTAGTGAACAACCCTTCATGTAAAATCAGTTTGTGATTTATCTTTATTGTACCAGCATGTATGACTGTTTTATATGAACCATCAGCTAGTTTGACAAGTCTAGGTGTTGGTAATTTGTAAGTGTAATAAAAAAGTTTTGGGTTTTTGGTCATATGGTCGATAGCACCTATATCTATTATCCAATTGCTTTTATCCTTAGTCATGTAATTAAAACGAGATGTGTTTACATTACCTGCAAATCATGTATTATCTGCACTGTCAGCATTGTCATTGATCTTGCAAGTTTGCACTTCTTTGCCCTTCACCATCTTCATAACCTCTTGCTAAATTTGCTTTGTTATATTATCATTGTAATCTCCATATGCTTATAGATTCATCAATATTAAACTCTCTAGAGGAGTTTCATTTACTAGATTTGACATGCTAACATTAGCTTGTGCTCTTTGCTTTGCAGTCTCCATATCCTGATTTCCATTCAGGATATCCATGTAGTTTAAAACATATGTCCCTTGTATGTCCTCCCTTTTTGCAATGATTGCAATACCTATCTTCCTTTTAATTTGGCAAAATTTCTCCCATCCTGAATTTCTAATGATTGTTAAATCTGTTTGCATACATTATTGTTGAATGTTCACTTAATTCAAAACTCAAAGTGGAACCTCCCTTTGCTTTTCAACCCTAAGAATCATTGAACAAGCTCGGTTAACACTAGGAAAGGAGTCCATGAGTAGTATTTGATTTCTCACATTATCATATGATTCATTCAATCCCATCAAGAATTGTATGAGTTTGTCTTCACTATATATTTCTATCATAGTTCTTAATGCTCCACATGTACATGTAGGTAAAGGCCTTAAGCATGTCAACTCATATCGTTACCTTTTCATCTTGGTAAAAAACACTATGACTGAGCTATTTTCTTGGTTAATACTTGATATTTCTTGTTTGATTTGGTAGAGCAGAGGGACATTACTCTCACCAAATCATTGTGTTAGCTCCTCCTATAGTTTTTATACACATTTGTGTATAATATATCCTTTGATATGGAATTCAAAATCCATGACACCTCCATACTGTCTACCCTCAGCCATTTTTCAATCATATGTAAATTATTTTATAGTTTTTCACATTGTCCATTAAAAAACCCTAGCTTATCTTTAGCTCTCAATGCAATTATCACAGATGCAATTATCACAGATCTATTCCAAGACAGGTAATCAGTACCATAAGTAAAACACTTATAAGGTTTGTAGTAGGATTACCTGAATTAAGTAGCTTTAATGCATCTGATTCCTCCATTTCCGCACTTACAGGTGTTGCAGTTATGGATGAATATGTCTCCCGATTTGCTGATTCAAGGAGATGAACAAGAACAAGCACCGATTCACAATAATGAATAAGAACAAAGATCAATCCACAGTATCATAAGCTCTGATACAATGTTTAGAAATATAGAATTATGAGAAAAATTGTAAAACTATACGAGAAGAATTTATGGATCTACTTCTTTATCAATGAAAAGAATTGTACAATAGGATGAACTAATGAAAAATTGATAACCGCTATGTATTTATACTAAGTCATATCTAGTATTGTGTGTATTCTCTTATTGTAGCAAAACTATTTTGCCTAACTAACTTTATTGCTAGCCAAAAACTCTATT